AAGCAACAACAACAACAACAAAAAAAAAACCCAATCAGAACAGCAAAAAGAAAAAAGAATCCAATACAATGAGGAGAGTGTAAGGAGCCTCCGAGACAATATCAAGCGTGCCAACATTCGCATCTTGAGGGTGCCAGAAGGAGAAGAGAGAGAGCAAGAAATGGAAAATCTATTTGAAACAATAACGGCAGAAAACTTCCCTAACTTGGTGAAGGAAACAGACATACAAGTCCAGGAAGCACAGAGAGTCCAAAACAAGATGAACCCCAAGAGTCCCACACCAAGACATATCATCATCAAAACGCAAAAGGTTCAGGACAAAGAGAGAATCTTCAAAGCAGCAAGAGAAAAGCAGATAAATACCTACAAGGAGGTTCCCATAAGGCTGTCAGCTGATTTCTCAAAAGAAACTTTGCAGGCCAGAAGGGAGTGGCAAGAAATATTCACAGTGATGAAAAGCAAGAACCCACAACCAACATTACTCTATCCTGCAAAGCTGTCATTTAGAATCGATGGACATATAAAGACTTTCCCAGACAAGAAAAAGTTAAAGGAGTTTATCACCATCAAACTGTTATTATATGAAATGTTGAAGGGTCTTTTTGAAGAAAAAGATAAAATATATGAACAAACAAAATGGCAACGAATACATATCTATCGACAATTGAATCTACAAACAAAATGAACAGGCAGAACAGAAACATTCTCATAGATATAGAGAACATTTTGTTGGTTGCCAAATGGGAGGGGGGTTGGGGAAATGGGTGAAAAAGGTGAAGGCATTGAGAAGTACCAATTGGTTGCTAGACTGACAAACCTCAAAGGGAAGGGGGTTGAGGGGTGGGAAGAAATAAACCAAAAAACTTATATGTAACCAATGGACAGATAACAATGTGGGAAAAAGCAAGAGGGGGGCAGGAGTGGGGAGGAGGGGGTCAATGGGGGAAAAATGAGGAACATTATACATTCAACAATAAAGATTAAAAAATAATAATAATATAATAAATAAATAAATAAATTTCTGACCTCCCCCCCCCAAAAAAGAATAAGTGATCTGAAATGTAATCACTCCTAAGACTTCACCTACACTCTAGTAATTCCCAAATCCTGATCCAGTCCACGTCTCTCCTCTGAGTTATAGGCCTGAATATCCTATGGTCACATGGCACATCTATGCAAATATCCCTCAACACCTGCCTTCACTCACCTCACCCTGATTAGTGAGCAACTTTAGTGCCCATGCAGTTGCCTGAGCTGGAAACCTCTAAATTGATTACTGGTCCTTTCCATGCTCTTCACACCACCTCTCGATCTCATCCATTTACATTAGTTTGCCAGAGCTGCCGTAAAAATATATATATATATATCATAGGCTTAGTGGCTTAAACAACAGAAATTTATTTTCTTACAGTTCTGGCGAGATCTTTCTTCCTGGCTTGCAGTCCTCATGTGACCTTTCCTCCAAGCATGTGTGAGGAGGTAGGAGCTCTCTGATATCTTTTTTATAAGGACACCAATCCTATCGGAATCAAGGTTCCAACCTTATGACCTCATTTAACCTTAATGTTTTCCTTAGAAGCCACATTTCCAAATACAGCCACATTGAGGGTTGGGATTTCAACATATGAATTGGGGGAGGGGAGTACAGCTCCTCTCACCAGCCATCCCTAGCAGTTATTTCAGGGTATTTCTGAAACCACCACCACCACCACCACCACCACCACCAAGGTCTCAACCAAGTGCACACAAGCCATCTGAGCATGCCTGTCCAGCCATGCTTCTTCCCTTGCCTTGGTTTTGTGGGTCTAGGGGTAACTCCTTCACCAGAGTTCAGTCAAGACCGTTCCCCAAGGCCAGCAGCTGCTCCCCACCCTCACCTAAAGGGATTTCTGCCACCCCAACCTTTTGTCAGGTATGCATGAAGTCTGACCCTGACACTCAGCTGGAAGGCTGTGTGATTTTGTATGTTACCAAACTTCTCTGGGCTTGAACTTTGCTGAAGGCAGCTGGCCCCAGCACCCCCATGTGGATAAATAAATCATCATCCTAGGTGCCAGGCTCTTTACAAATATTATTTCTGGACCCATAAAGTTGGTGTTATTATCCTTATTTCAAGAAAGTAGAAACTGAGGCTTAGAGAAATACCTGGCCTGAGGCCACTACTTACTGGTCTATGGAGCAGGCTGGTCCAACTCCACAGCTGTTTCTGCTGCCCAGGCAGTGTCTCAGAAGAGGTAGGGCATCCAGGATATGGACCAAGCTCTTTTCGTCTAGGGACATGGTCTCACTTGGAGCTACACGTCCAGCAGGGGTCACCCCAGGTGCTGGTCTGTGGTCTAGGGGCCTGTGGGCTGGAGGCCTCTGGTGGACAAGCAAGCAGGCGCGTGCTTAGGGCCGTGGCTGGCCCTATGGACACTGCCTTGCTGTGCTGGGTAAACGGCCCACTTTCCGTGCCCGCCCCCTCAGGCCTGCCCTGCCCCACTCCCACTGCCTATTTAAGCAAGAGGCCCCCACTCCACTGGGCTCAGGCACCAACAACCTCCAGAGCTAGGAGAGCAGCGCTGCAGGCCTCGCTCACTCGCGGGATGAGAGGTCCTTCTGCTTCACCATTTCCTACCGGTGGGTTTTGAATGATGCTGAGCTGGGTTGTAGTGGGAGCTGATTCTGCTCACCCGGGAGTGTACTGAGATGTGTAGCTAGCAGAGGCTCTGATTGAATATTTCCCATTTCTAATCCCCGACTTGATGTGATCTTATTTTCAAAGAGGGAGAAAGGCTGTTTGTGAAAGGACAGAGGAGAGCATATCTCAAAACAAGGTCTGCTCGGAATATCAATGATCTGACATGTTTTTCTTTTCTTTTGAGAAAAGAAAAGGTCCTGTAATTTTAAGGTTGTAGAGATTCCATTTCCCCGCAGGACACCCTCCCTAAATAGTTTGTTCCTGTCATTTAATTCTAATTTGGGGGGTGGGGGGAACAAAACACAGGAGATTATTTTCAGAAGAGTTTGGTAAGGGAGAGGCTGTACAGCTGGTGGGGGACAGTTTGGGGGACAGTTTAGGAAACGTCCCTGGCAAACTTCTCATTGAGAGATGAGGAGTGAGCAGACAGTGGAGCTGAGTCACACAGGCCAGGATGGCTCAGGAGAGGTCTGCCTTTTTCATAACTACTTCCAGCCTGTGATCTAGGGTCAGATGAGCCCAGCAAGAGGGTGAAGAACAGCGGTTCATGCAGGTCATCACCCTGGCAGGTGTCCCAGGTACAGGGGACAGGGCCTCCCTGGAGGCCAGGACAGCAAGCTATCCTCTGCCCTCTCAGGAGATTAGACTCCCCAGGCTGTGGGTGGGGAGAGATGCCTACCAGGTGCTTCACTCAAAGGAAATAAGCCAAGCTGCCCACATTGAAACAAGGGCCCTTAGGGGAACATGGGTCACCTCATGTACAGCAAGGACTTAGGAGCTCTGACTTCCTTCTTCCCACCCTGATCTGGCAACTTCAGGCATCTATGCTCATTGGGTCCTGGCCATAGCCGTTCAAGACCTTGCAGTGACCTTCAGTATTGCAGAGGAGGGAGCATCTGAATTTCACAGGTTAAATAACTTGCCCCAAACCATTCAGCTGACTAGAACCCATGTCTCACTGGAGCTTTTCTGTGTGGATTCCTCATAAGGAGGGTGCCAACTGTTTGCCAAGTAAGGAGACACTCCTTTCAGCCCTTCTGCAAACATCTTTGGCTTGGGGGCAGAGGGATTGGGACTCCAGGTTCAGATTCTTCTAAAACACTTAGTTTGGCTGATTTACAAAGTAAGTTTACACAAGGGACAGGGAATGGCCCAGTGGGGCCCGGGGAAGTAATTAATGGTCGCCCTACTGGGGCTGTGGGGGTGGTAAGAGGGCTTTGGGCTGGGCAGCAGAACTGGCTTGAGAAGGTGGAGAGCCAAGGAGAGCTGCATGGGGATCTTGCCAGGTGAGGGCTAAACTTTCTGGGCCTCAGTCCAGTGGTCGGGGCCAGGAGCCAAGGATTCGGCTGGAAAGTCAGAGTCTGGACTTGGGACTGGACAAAAGAGCCAGGACTGTTTATGTGAAGCCAAAGGGCAAGCTCAGAGGGTTGCCTGGGGCCAGGAATCAGGGGCGGGACCAGAAATGAGGGCAGGGCCAGCACCTGAGGTAAGGGATGGAGCTAGAAGGGAGGGGCGGAGCCAGAGAACAAGACCCCGCCTAAGAACCCCGCCTGGACATGAGAGCCCTGGGCAAGATCCGCGTCTGAGAGGAATGTGGGACGCTGATGGCATCCTGTCCAAAGGCCTCCGCTCACAAGAGCGCCCCTCGCCCCGCCTCCGTCTCCTCGGAAGACGCCACTGGGTTCACAAAGTGTCCCCGCTGAGCCTTTTCTCCACAGTCCTGTTTACTTACCGTCCTGTATTCGCTGCCAAATCCCTCTAGTTCTTCCTCTCCACAGGCTTCCTCCCCCATCCCATCCCATCCAGTCCTGATAGTCACTGTCCCTCTTCCTGGGCCTGGGTTATTTCCCCCAGCCCAGTTTTCCTTCACCCCCAGGTACCTCCTGGGGAGAGCTCCAATTGTTCTAGCTTCACCTATCATATCAAACCCAGGCCTCACCGCTGGAGCTCTGAATTTGCCTCCCTCATCCCCCTGGCCCCCGCACATCCCTGGCCTGGCCTAGGTTTAGCTGTCCGGGTGGATGTCTCATCCCTCCCACCTGCAGAGTTCTCCCCATCTGTCAACACCCCTCCCCCACCCCCACCCACCGCCTCACCTGTCCAAGTCTGTCACACACACCTCCGTCCCCACCCCCTCTGGCTGCACTAAGTCCACAGGGACAGCGGTGCCCACACCCTCTCCTTGGCGACATGGAGGGTGCGGCAGTGCCTCTTGTAGCTTGGGTGGGGCCCCTTGGCCACTGCACCTGGCTCACCTGTACTCGGCTTTTCTGCAGTGGACTGTGTTCTGGCCACCTCTAAACTGCTCATCTCCTTTCAGGTCCTTGACTCCACAGTGAGGCCCCCTCTTCAGACAGAAGGAAAAGAAAGTCCCAGCAGCCCATCCTCCGGTAAGACAGGGGCTTCTGGAGAGGGGAGGCCTGTAAGGAGGTTCTGTGTGAGATTGCTTAAGAAAAGGTTCTGCTGGTTGGTTCAAAGTCTGGAAAAACAGTTCTGGGCTAAGCAATCAGGCAGGCAGTTTGGTCCTACTCTGAAGCAGTCCTCCTGTGGAATACAATGTAGCGGAGAGAGTATGTGTGATACACCCAAATCAATGGAGAAAATACAAACTTCAATAGGTAAAAAAAAAAAAAAAAAAAAGTTGAGGCAGCACTTCACAAAAATGAAGGAATACAATTTAAATATCCTGTAAAATGGAACCAGATACCCAATAAACATTTTTTTTTATTTTAATGCTCAAACCGAGCTGGTAAGGATGCTATGAAACGCACTCTCAAACAACTTGGGTGGAAAGCAGTTTGGCAATATGCATCAGAAGCTTTAAAGTTTACCTGGTAATTCTACTCTTGAATCCATCAATAATTCAAACTATTGGGCCATTCTCAGGAATAAAAGCAGAAACTAGCAACACAGTGACCCCCTGACAGTGGGGAACCTAAGTCCAGGAGCCAGGACAGGAAGACCATTGTAAGAACCTCCCCCCCCTCCAAAATATTGGTAAACTGAATGCTTTTGGCATTGCCAAGCTAGGGGTAGAGTTTGGGGGGATCCAAGGTGATGGTGACTGGATGAAGAACGAAAGAGGAGGTAGATGAGGCTGGCAGTCCACAGGGAGGAAGGACGATTATTGGGATCTTTACTAGGGCTTCAGTGAGAGTGGGTGACAAATGCCACCTTCATGAGACCAGAAACAAGTGATAAGGATCTTGTTTTGTGGGAATTGAGGGGAAGCAAAAGCAGGACAAGGGAGATAGTTTAGGGACTCTTTTTCTTTTCTTTTTTTTAAAGAAGAGAACATTTATTTGGAAAATCACAGAGGCAGAAGAAGTAATTTGTAGAAGAAATGGGCTTAGGAAACAAGTTATAGAGGTAAAGAAAGGGCCCTTGGAGCTTGGGAGTGAGGAAGGTAATGGTAATGCATCTGGTGAAGGAGGAGGAAGAGGGGAAGGGGAAGGCGTGGCTGTGCCCCTGGGAGGGAGCAGACTGAGTTTAGGGACTCTTTTACTTTTCCCTAGGGACTTGTCCTGGATTTGGGGGCCTTGGTGCTGTACAGCACTCACTTATAAATTTTGAATATGCTTGTACATCATTTGTACTCAGCCTTGCTGAGGAAGGTGGGGAGGAAAGGGAAATTGAAGTCAGGTGATCTGACTGTACCTCTCAGGGACTGTCATTACTGCGTCCCAGTTTTCTCATCTGTAAGTGGGGCCAACAGTACCACTCGGGATGGTTGAACAGTGTAGAAGCACCATGATTGTGAAGAGCACATTCTGGGAGGTGTGTGCTATGCGGCATCTGCGCAAATGTCCCCAAGAAGTGGATCTGTTAGTTCTGCTTGTCTGATGCTCATTTCTAGTTTCCCTCATGTCTTTGCCATGGACTGGCTCATAGCTGTGCCCCCACCTCACAGGGACAGAGAAAAGAAAGAAGGAAGGGAATGAGTTTGAGGTCTTGAGCGGGCTGCTGGTGCCCAGATGACCCGGATTGCTAAAGCCACCCTGGCTGGGCTCTAGGTTTGCAGGGGCAGGGCTGACACTTGACAGTCAGTCATCTGGGGTTCCTATTATCTGTCCACTATGTGCCAACACACAGCTAGAGTCAGGTGATGGGATAAGACACTGAGTGCCACCCTGGCTGGTTTGGTTCAGCGATTAGAGCCTCGGCCCATGGCCTGCCTAAGCCAAAGGCCTCTAGTGATCCCTGGGGCCACAGAGTAGGGGACTAGCTGGGGTTTGGTGAAGAGACCATCACTGTGACTTCGAAACCTTAGCCCCTCCACTGAGGCCTTATCCCTTCGCATAGATGAGGGCTATGAGGGAATAGCCCCAGCAAAGGTATGGAGATCTAGAAGGGCGTGGTGGGAACTGTGCAGGTCAGGACCCCTGGGACTCCAGAAGTAGGGGAGGAGCAGAGCCATCGGCTGCTGGGCCTAGCCTGCCCTTCCCTGCCCTTCTTTCTCTGCCAGGTGCATCTTTCTGGGGGCATCTGGGGCCCCTGAAGAGTTTAACAGGGAGCAATTTGTTCCGATGTATAGTGTAGGAAGATCCCACCAGCTGTCACGTGGACCAGAGGAGGGGAGGCCAACTCAGGAAGACCAGTAGGTGGCTGTTGCAATACCTAGGTGGGAGAGGCTGAGACGTGAACTGGAAATGGCTGGCCATGGGAATGGAGACAAGGAGTTAGCGAAGCAGAATGGTGGGCTGGTGGGAGGAGGCAGGATGTGGAGGAGGACCAGATCCCTGGGACTGCTTTGGAGACAAGCAAGTGTTGGAGAAGTGAAAGAAGAAGAAGAATGAACTTTTAGGGGAAGATGAAGAGCTGTCAATCAAATTCATGGGGTCAGAGATTAGGAGAGACACCTGGGCTGGCTGTCACCTGGAAAAGGTGACTCACAAGGGGTCAACAGAGAAAAGAGGCAAAAAAAGGTCCATCTCCTAAGGAGTGGCAGGGGAGGAAAAGACAAGCTCTCTGAGAAGGAGCAGTCTCAAAGGCAGGACGTGAACAAGAAGGAGGATGGCCCAGGAGCAGGGGACAGATTGCTGAGAGACAGATGAGGATCAAGCAGGTTAAGCCTCCTATTGGGCCTATTTCTTTTACTTTTTTTCCCTTTATTCATTTTAGAGAGAGAGGAAGGGAGAGGGAGAGAGAGACAGAAACATCGATGAGAGAGAACATCGACTGGCCACCCCCTGCATGCCTCCCACAGGGGACTGGGCCCACAATGTGTGCATGTGTCCTGGCCGGGAATCGAACCGGCGACCTCCTGGTGCACAGGCCGACGCTCAACCACTGAGCCACACCGGCTGGACTATTTCTTAAAACAAATCTGGTTGAAACTGCATGGACTTTTCTCATTGGTGCTGACCTCTGTTCTGTTCATTTCTTTCCAAAACTTTACCAGAAAGTCCAGTGAGACATCCTATCCCCCTTCTGTCTAGCAGTGGGGGTAATGCAGGTAGCCTCAAGCTGAGTGGCAACTGAGACCCCCAGCCAGCCAGAGGGTCACTCAGCCTTTCCAGAGAGCAGGACACAGACCCAGCCAGCATGCTAGGCTCTGAGCTACAGCTAGCCCTTGCTTGAGGCTAGCTGGGTCTGTTGGTGCAGGTGGGTTGCTAAGCAGACATTTAAAGCATTTAAGTTAAACAAACCCAACTAGGGATAAACTATAAGTCAATGTGGCAGATCCTCCTCTCAGGCCCATTTTCCACAGCTGTTCCTCCCACCCCACCCCCAATCTCCTCCTGGCCTGCAGCCTGGGATCTGGTGGTCATGGTGGCCTGATAGTCAGGACTTCCTGAGTGACTCCGCCTCCTTAGTGCCTGTTCCCAGTTCTCTGATGTTCCACCTGACCTCCTTCCCTTGCTCACTACTGGCTCCACCCATCACCTACCACTTTCCCATCTCCATACCCTCTAGGAGGACACTCCCACACTAAATCTGCACACCTAGAAAGCAAAGGCTCTGCCCCCAGAGATTCTTGGTCCTTGCTGTGAAATATCCCTTGCACTCACAGTGTTGCATCTGATTCATAGGGAATGTATCCTGAACACCCCCAGCCTACCAGCCTAACAGCTGCTGCCTGGCCCCTTCCCCTCCCTGGGGCCTGTCAGCCAGCATGATCTGGCTGTGTCTGACCATGCCTGGCCTCTCGGGCTGATCCCTGAGTATCAGGCATAGGCTGTTGGCTCCATCTCAAGCTTCAGTCCACCTCAGTCCACCCGTGACACTCTCTCCTGTCCGTCCCCTGCAGGCCCAGCATGGCCCCTGGGACCAAACCCATGCACTGATCTCTGGCAGAAGTTTCTACTGGATTCACTTCCCCATGTCTACAGATTTACTTTGTTACCTATATGACCAGCCACAGCCTCTTCTCTGAGCAGAAAAGTTCCCAACAAAAATTAAAAGATTAAGGTTCAGTTCCACTGGTGCCTCATGGTCCTGAGGACATGGACACAAAGCAGGAACTGACTTCTCAGGCCACACATTGAGGGGGTGGGAAAGAGTGAGCCTCCCACCTGGTTTGTATTCAGGGCAGAGGAACATCGTTATTACCATTTAAAATGAACATCTTTCTTGAAGAGAATTGGATCTGAAGGGTAGTTCTGTTTACATTCCTGGGAAACTGAGAGCTGTCAATCAATAAGTCTTATTTTTGGTAAATGGACTGAATAAATGCCAAATTGGAAGCATTCCTCTCTTGGTCAGGATAGAACAGGTTATGCTGTGGCTTCTCATCATAGGTTTTCTTCTCACTCCAACTACACGGGGGTGATCTAGGGTCCTGTTCTGTGTCTCCTCAACCTGGGACTCAGGCTGACAGAGCAGCCACCATCTCAAACACTGAAGATGCATATGGCAGAGAGGGAACTCTGGAAGGTCTCACACCTGTTGTTAAGCACTCTGGCCAGCAGTGACATATTTCACTTTTACTCACAGCTCACTGGTCAGAGCTAGTCACATGATCTACCCAACCACAAGGAGACCAGGAAGTGCAATCCTGCCTCCTGCCTGGAAAGCAGGCTCCAGCTGCTCTAGGGACCAGAGAGAGTAGCCAAGAGTCTGTCCTGGGCTTGGAGGCAGGTATGAACAAAAAAGGAAGTCTAGCAAAGCGTGCTTATCCTTTTAAGTTAGTCACTCCTGAATGAAGATGTGTCACTGTCTTCATTAGCATGTTTATACCAGCAATTTGGGGACACATAACCTCCACAATTAGAGCCGAGAGCTCTTGTCACCCTTTCCAGAGTACGATTCAAGAGCCAAGAGCAGGTATAGACAGGGGCAGTGGAACCCAGAGGCAGGTTTGGTGGCAGAAATTAGTTGGAACTTGGGGCACTCTAGACCCCCGTGCTTTCTCTCCCACTGATGTTTTGCTGTAGACAAAGGACTAATT